TAAGGTGCAAGGTAAGCCCTGGTTCGGGAGTCTTGGGGAAATCTCAGAGCTCTCCAAAAGGGCCTGGGAGCTAGGCACTAGTTTCCCCAAAGCCCTGTGCAAGCCACTACACCCCAGAAAGGCCATGTGGGGGCTTGTCTCCAGTGTGCTCCTCAGGGCGGGACCCAGGGTCTGTCCCGCGCTCCCGTCTGCACACAGGAGCCCTCTCGGGGAGTGCGCCAGTCAGGGAGACAGCCAGGGAGCTGCTGAGAAAAGAAGAGACTGGGTTTCAAGAAGTTTCGGGAAGAAACAGACCCAAGGGAATTCTCCACGATCTTCACCCGCTCTTTCTCTCCCAGCCTTTTGCAGAGGCCAGGACAGACCCGACTGACTGATTTCTGAGAAAGGGGGAGAGGAGGCAGGCAAGAAGAATTCGGGACCCAGCAAGGTGCTGCAGCCATGCGGGCACCCAAGAGTGGAGGGGAGAGGCCCTTCAAGCCAGACCCCGTCTCCTAGAGCACAGCTGTGTAGACGGGGTGCTCGGTGCCCCTCACCCCACTGCGGCACCCTCTCGGGGCCCGACTCAGCACCCAGACTGGCTACGCCTGGCTCCATGGGACGCACTGCCAAGGTCACAGCAAATGTGACAGGGTCTTGGAGGCTCAGCCCTCCAGGCTCCAGCGGTCAGGCAGAACTGGTCCCCCAGCTCAGGGTCCATGTCACAGAAAGAAACAGAGTCGGGAGGACAGACCTGGACCATCCCTATGGGCTGAGAGCCTCAAGCAGAGGAGAGGTGCCTACGTGCTCCTGGGCCTGGCACTAGCTTGTCAGGGGGAGGGCACCGGCCTGGGGCCCCGGCCGACACTGGCTCAGGGGGAGTTTCTGTTCCTCACCTGCCCGTCCCCCGGGGCCTTCATGCAGGCTGACTGGATGTGCAACACAGGTGGCATCTTCCTCCACGAAGCAAGCAAATGTCTTCCAGCATGCTCCCCCACCCCCAGAACAGGGGCCTTTCCACTGACAGGAAACTTTACTTCAGGTATAAACACCCTGTCTCCCCATTTCAGCACACCTACACTCTCTCCCGACCCAGCCCCGGAGCGAGAGTCCTGAGGCACAGTGTTGTCAAGCCCACTCCCGAGACCTGCCTGAGGGGGCCCTTCCCACCCTCCAATCAGGAGAAAGGGGAGGAAAAGAAATACTCAGAAACCTGAAGATTGTTTGGAATTTATTCTCTTAAATAAGAACGGTAACATTTGTTAAAAAAAAAAATTAGAAGCACAACACCTTAGTTTCACAGAAAACAGTTTCACAGAAAAAACAAAGTTACACAATTAAATAAAAACAGCTCACAAAGAAACACACCAAAACTCACAACAGCACACATTAAAGGCAAGCAGGACGCTTCACAGAAGGCAGGCCGGAGGTAGAAAGGCGGGCATCCCTGACACAGCTCTGGTCTCCATACCATGCCTGGAGATCCACTGCTGCTTAATGGCTCAGGAAAAGTGGGGTGTGGAACCCCTTAACTAACTGGTCAGGCCTTCAAGGCCACGCTGAGGCCACTCTCAGGACGGACTATGGGATTCCACTGTCTACAGACACACAACACCAAGAGACAGCAGGAAGCTGCAGTAACAGGCCCAGGGAGTCAGGCACGCCTTGGAAGCGAAGTGGTCCTCAGGGCCCCTGAGAGAGAGCCCTGTGCCCCTGGTCTCCGGTGCTGGGAGTATGCACTGCTTGCTTTCTGAGACACTCACCCCGCAGTCTCCACCTCCACCAGGAGCCCGGCTTCTCTGCTCCCTCCAAACCCTGACCGGAACACTAAGCTAGGCCAGGTCCCCAGGTAAACCAGAACCAAAGAAAGAGAAGCTTTAGAAAAAGCTCCACTAGGATTGTGATTATTACTCAGGGCATAATATGTAAACGTGTACTTATACACATGAAGCTAAACTGGTACAAGCGCATGTGTGTATATATGTAAACGTGCATATATCAAACACCTGCTACACATGAAGCTAAAGCCATACAAGCACGTGTGTGTATATATGTAAACGTGCACACATCACCATTTGCTACGACTCTCGGGACTGGGCAGGGAAGCTGGATGTGGAATTCTCTGTCTCACTAACGGGTTTTCCAGAAACGGAAGCAGGCTTGGGAAGCAGTGGGAGATCTGGTAATGACTCCCTCCTAGTGGCAGAAACCCAGGATGGGTCAGAGTCGTCCTGCCATGCGACCGTCCCAGCTGGTGAGGTAAACACCTGGTTTCCGAGTGCTCCCTCAGCATGCCCGCTACGGAATGCAGGTGCCACGCAGGGCAGGCAGTGCCCAGCCAGACAGCCTCGTGTGTTAAGGTCATCTTTCTGTAAGATGACAGACAGTGAAGCCTTCTCCCCGTCCCCTGTCTGTCGCAGGGCCTGCAAGGACAGTGTTTCTGATCCCCATGACCCCCACCTGTACACTTCAGTTCCGGTTCCCCACCACACGAGGTGTAAAGGATGAAGAGAGGGTCTCAAAACCCGCAGGGTCTTGTACTCAAGGGGAAAACGTACCATCTGGAGTTTTCTTTCTCTACCTGTTTTCCAAATGTTTCTTACAGGCAGGTACTCTGAGGCCAGGGTAAGGAAACCTGTGCCAGGTCCACGAACCTACAGCAGCCAATGTAAGAAGCTCGGAGACAAACTAGTTACAGACTGAGAACAGAAAAGAGGGTTTCTACATCAAAAGCACATCACAGACAAAGATGTTAAACTAGGCAGCAGCCACAGGCCAGGCTGCCAGAGACAGAGGACACTGGACTAGGCTCTAACTCACAGGTTGTGTTTGTATTTTTGGCAACAGTAGTAGTTTTGTGGTGGAAGAGGCGAACACAAGGGAATGGAGGGAAACGCCACAGACTAAAGGGGGCTGATGCACAACAGCCGACCAGTTACGGCTCCTCCAGCCCCACTTTCCAGGGAATAGGGACCCAGGTGTGAACCACGCTCCATGCACCACTCACTCCTGCTCAGAGTGCAGCCCAGGGCACGTGCCAGGACCTGGCCTGACAAATGCCGTCCACAGCACACATTCTGAAGCCCTCCAACACCTGAATTATTCTGAATCTTTTCGAAACAAGGTTCCAGTTAACCAAAACTTTAGTTTGGGATTTTTTTTTTCCTATTAAAGGGGGAGAAAAAACCAACGTCATGCCACGTGTAACAGGCACCCATGGCCTGCTCCTCTCCTAAGGAGGGGAAGTGCTGGCACCCTGGGGTGTGTCCACACTCAGAGCTGTCGTTCTGAAAGCCCAGGTCTCCAAGGGTAGGACCCCAGTGCTCTGGGCACTGGCTCACTGCTGCCCACAGGGTACCTCCAACCAGGGCTCACATCCTAAACCCCGCGCGCTGTGAGAGGTGCGTCTCCCTCAAAATCAAGAAGGCCCACAGGCCTTTGATTCAGTCACAAGCCCAGCTCTCATCTTCTATCCCTGCTTCAGAGAAGGTTCCTCTTCTCTACGGAACCCTTCACTCTCCACAGCTCCTAAAATCCTGAAGTCCACCACACTTCCAAAGCAGACAGACGGACAGCAAACTGAACCAGATCGAGTGCATGACCAGGAACTGCCTGACCCCCGCTGGCTTCATTCTTCTGCAGATGTTCACAAGAGGCTGAGCGCCCTGGCTGTGTGCTGAGCCCCAGGTAGTGCTCACCTGCTCCAAGGCACGTGCCCGCGTCTCTGCCAGCCCCTCCCCGACTCAGGGGCCCTCAGCACCTCATAAGAAAGATGGATTATAAGGAGTTTAAGGGGTAGCAGCAAGTCCTTTGTGGCTTAAACATGGCTATAAAATGTTGGTCCAACCTGCAGGGCACTTGCGGACTTGCCCAGATCAGAGCGAGGCACACGCTGCAGCAGAGCTGAGCTCTCCTACGTCCTGCCCCCGGGGCTCCATCAGTTCCAAAGCACAGTCAGAGGAGCAGCACTACCAGCCTCTCGTCTGAGGACCAAGAGGACCACCCTATTCCCTTTAGGAATCCTACGACCAACTCCTCTCCATCTAGCTGATAACCTGTCCTTTCCACGTGGTGATTTCTGAGGACGGGAGGACACCTGTGACAGGTGACAGCAGGGCCCTGACAACTTCCTCACCCGCCGGCTGCAGTGAGCTGGCCTGTGACCAGGCGGGGCTGCACAGGTCCCCGGGACCACCCGCATCTGTGGGACTGTGGACACCCCACGCAGGCTGCTTTGGCAGAGAGTAGGGAGAAGCAGCTTTAAGGGAAAAAACACTATTCTTCACAACAAAGCTGGTTCCGTGAGCCCTTTTCTTCCTGCCTTCCGAGATCAGAATAAACGTGTTTTTAGAAGTGCGGGTGACGGCACTCGCCTCCTGATGCAGGAAGAGGTTAAAGTGGAACCAGCCAGGGCCTGTCCTTCAGCGGTCACAGGTGTGGGGAGAGCAACAGGAGTTGCCCCAGACACCAGTGCAGCGAAGGGGACAGAGGAGATCCAGCGCAGGTGAGCGTGTGTGCAAACCCTGGGGCATTCTCACAGTTCCACGCTCGGCCTGAGGAGCCCACCAAGAGGGACTACAGGAAGGCCCTGCCGCCCTGGCTTGTCATGTAGGTCAGTGCTAAAAGTAGCCAGCTCTGAACTCCTCTTCTCTGGACAGGCCTGGGCTTGGCCCCCAGGTGTCTGATGGATGTGAGCAGGTCCCAGGGCCCGGCAATAAAACTCTGAGACTTGGAACAGACGGCACGAAGTGTGGGCAATGCCGCTGACCTGACAGTGCCCTACTGGCTCACAGTGGGCCAGTGAAACTCCCCTCGGATCTGCACCAGCACCTCCGACAGCCCATAGAGGAAGGGGACTCCGAAAGCAAGCAGCTGGCACATGAAAAAGGAGTCCGGAGGGTTCTGGGCCGCCTGATGCCCAATCGACGAAATGCTGCACTGGAGGTGCTGGCTCATCCCCTTGGCCTTGTCGCAGAGGCCGAGCGAGTGACGCACCACCCAGCCAAACAAGGAAGTGAGGCTACCTGGGCTTCTCTCGGCAGGGCTGGCACTGGTGCTGGGCCGTCCGCTGGCATCTGTGGCCGGGCTGTCCTGCAGGGGTCCCCGGGCCTCCTAGGAGAGGAAGATGACTGAGTGAGGCACCACATCTCAAGACACGGTGACACCTCACTGTGGTCAGCTGCCCTCACCAGGCAACCCAGAGACGTGCCAGGACACACGTCACGGGGGTCGCAGGAGTCACGGTCCAGAGGTGCCTGGTACCCCTTCCCACCAGCTCTCTGCCACCCCAGAGGCCCTCCGGGAAGCAATGGTCAGCTGCTTACACACACAGGAACACCCCATCAGAGAGGATACCAAGCTCACTTGAAGAGACAAGCAGGGAGCTGACTATGCTCAGACTTTTAAGATAAAATTCTTAGATAAGTGGCCCCCAGAATAAACAAAGTTAAAGGAGTTGGCTACAGGACATTTATTTTGAGCCACGTCCTTTTCTAGTGTCCTCCTCTCAGGAAAGGTGCAACTTTCAAGGCAAAAGGCTTTTTTTACACAGAATGAGCAGAAGGGAGGGATGCACAGGTTCTTCCCAATGTAGCTCAGGTGCTGGCAAGAACACTTCCATAGTGAAACTCAACATTCGATGAGGCCTGACATGCTGCCCCTCCCCAAATCGGACCAAGACCACTTCTCAGACCCTCCCACTCACAGGAAGGGCTGCTCGCTGGTCACCCAGGGTCTGTTGGCCATGCCTGAGCTGTCACCACACTGGACGGTCACCTGCTGCCCCTACCCTGCAGCCCAGCCCCGTTACCTTTCCAGACAGAGGCGCCCCTGCCGGTCTCTTCCTCTGCGCAGGGCCGGACAGCCGGTAACAGTAGTGTGGCTTGCAGTAGAATTTACCTGCAGGCAGCGAGGGGCAGGGGAAGAGGGAGTGAGCCAGTCTCTGACATGCCGGACTTGACCCCTGGCCTTGGCACACGCGTCCCCACTGCCCAGCCCGACCTTGCCCAGGCCGGGGTTCTCATCCAGGAAGGCCAGGCCCTCCTCTCCCCTGTGCCCGGATGTGCGGAGGCCACAGAGCCATCACCCAATCAGGGCTCAGAGCAGAGACTGCAGCCTGTACAGCGGGGCCAGCAAACAAAGTGTCTGTGTGTGCAGAACAAAGATGCGGTCACATGAAGAGCCGGAGGAGCATTTCTGGGGGAACTGAGAATGAACACAAGTGCTGGAGGCATGAAGGCTGCCACGGGTGGGGCAGAACTGGACATTAGCTCTGCCGCGGCCCTCTGGCACCCACGTGCGACCTGGCGCTGGTCAAACTGCAGCTCAGATCCTTAGTGGGTCATATCAGCATTAAAGACAACGCAAAACAAATAAAAAAATCCTACAACTGACCGTGACTAGAATGAAACAGAATTAAGCCTAATAAAAAGCATCGGCATGCACAGGGCATCCTCAGGGTCCGGCAGCAGTTCCCAGTGCTCAGCTGTGCCCACCTGGGCTGTCCTGGTGTAACACTGCATCCTATTGCATAACGTGTGTCCTGCTGCATAACGCATGTGTCCTACTTTATAACACATGTCCTACTGCATAACACGTGTGTCCTGCTGCACAACGTGTGTCCTACTTCATAACGCATGTCCTGCTGCATAATGTGTCCCAATGCATAACGTATGTGTCCTGCTTTATAACGTGTGTCCTACTGCATAACACGTGTGTCCTGCTATATAACATGTGTGTCCTACTTCATAACGTGTGTCCTGCTGCATAATGTGTGTCCCACTGCATAATACATGTGTCCCACTGCATAACCCAAGTGTCCTGCTGCATGTGTGTGTCTTGCATAACGTGTGTCCTGCATAACGTGTGTGTCCTGCATAATGTGTGTGTCCTGCATAACGTGTGTCCTGCATAACGTGTGTGTCCTGCATAACATGTGTCCTGCTGCATAACATGTGTCCTGCTGCATAACGTGTGTGTCCTACTGCATAATGTGTCCAGCTGCATAACACATGTGTCCCAATGCATAACGTGTGTGTCTTGCTGCGTAACATGTCCCACTACATAACGCATGTGTCATATTGCATAACGTGTGTCCTGCTGCATAACGTGTGTGTCCTATTGCATAATTCATGTGTCCTATTGCATAATGTGTGTGTCCTGCTGCGGGTGGGACCACAAGCTTGATTAATGTCAAACTTGGCTTTTCCCTTGATGTTGGTAGTGGAATTCAGTCACAGAGGGGTGTTTTTTCCTTAACCTTTTCTTTACTCCACTTACAGTCAAGGTTTTGAAAATTAAAGGATAGACCCTGTTAGAGAAAACTGTTGAAACCCGAGTAATCCCATTCATCTTTCTCATTTGGAGAGAGCAACTCCTTTAACAAATGAACTTTCCTATTCTTGAAGTTAAAAATAAGAGGACTTAACAAAGAACACGATAGAAAAGATCAATGAAACTGACATCAGACTAATTCAGAAAAACAGAGAGAAGACTCAAATAAATAAAATCAGAAATAAAAGACATTACAACTGATACCACAAAAATACAAAGGACCCTAAGAAACTACTAAAAACAACTATTTGCCAATCTAGATAACCTAGAGTAAATGAATAAATTCCTAGAAACATAATTTATCAAATCTCAGTCATAAAGAACAAAATCTGAACTGACCAGTACTGAGTAAGGAGACTGAATCAGGGATTAAAATTCTCACAAAAAAGAAAAGCCCTGGACCAGATGGTTTCACTGGTGAATGCTATCAAACATTTATAGAACTAACAACAAGTCTTCTCAAATGTATCCAAACAACTGAACAGGAACACTCCCAACTCGTTCATGAGACCACCATCACCCTCATACCAAAAGCCAGATAAGGAACCTGCAAGAAAACTACAAACCAATATGCCTGATGAACACAGGTGCAAAAATTCTCCACAAAATATTAGCAAACCAAATTGAACAGCACTTTGAAAGGATCAGACGCCATTATCAAGTGGGATTTATTCCAGGAAGGCAAGGAAGCCTCACCCACTGCTCTCCAGAGTCCACCCAGGACAGGTGAGGTCCTTCCTGACACTTTGAGCATCATGGATCCCTCCTCCTCTGCACTGTACAAAGTCAGTCTGCACTGTGCCCTGGAGCCCACGGCCACTCTCATGCTGCCTGCTGCCAGGGCATCCCACGCAGGACCCAGTCTGCTTACACTCTATCCATTCACACAGAAGAATGTGTCTCCAGGTGTGGCACAGAATCTAGGGGCAAAAATACTTGTGGATCAACTCGCTGGAGCTGGAGGGATCCTTCCAGGCAAACTTCACAGACAGAAACACTGGGCGGGCTTCACTCACCAAGCCCACCAGGGAAATCAAAGGCGTTCTCCAAAGACCCGGAGTGTGGGGTGCAGAGAGCTGCAGCCCTGCCCTCGCTTTCCATTCGTGTAACTAGAGGATCAGAGGCCGCAACAGTAAGAGCCATCTTTCCTCAGTTCCTCTCACTCGCTAGTCAAAGAGCCTGGATGAGTGACTATCCCCTCATCACAGGGCGGTCCCCTCCTGTGTGAAGGCCACCCCACCAGGATGCACTCCCCCTCCTATTCACCCGCATCTTTTCATCACTTTTGGATCAGTAAGACGGCCTCTCAAAAAGTCCCTCTGGGGTCCTGCAGGAACAGGTGTGAAATCATTAATGTCTTGGGTGACTGTTTCCAGTTAACCCCAAGGTTTTTCAGGTGGCAGACACGCCTCTCCATTAGGTTTTCATTACCAGTCTGCATAATCCTCCACCTTCTGCCTTATCAAGGTCATTCCATTATGAAATCAACAAATACCACAAAAGGCCAGGGCTTGGCCAGCACAGTAAATCAGACGAAGGCCTGTGCCACGTGCTCTCAATTCCACAGAGATGCAGATGCAAGAGAGAACGGCTGACAACGCGCACAACTCGGGCACCTTCGGGAAGCCAAAGTCCGAGAGCAGTGGCCAAGGACGCAGTTTCAATGTGCTGCCACTGACCTCAGGCAAGAAACACGGCTTTTATAAGACTGTGATTCTTCTTCTCTAAAGTAAAGACAAAAAGACTTCTTCTCCTTGGGCCCCTTTTGTCTTAAGATCCTGCCGTGAGGTAGGAGAGCAGGTTATCTGTGAAGCCAGGGCAGGCGTTTAGGTAAACACATGCCCTTCTCTTCTCCATGGTCACCAAGTCATCTATGACACTGCCTAGTGACTCTATGGATGGATCTACAGGACACACTTTTAGAACACAGACTAGAGAGTGGTGGGTGGGAATGCTCAGGAGAGGTGGAAAGAAAAGCATCTGTGTGAGCAAGCAGTGGGGGCCGTGTCCGGGTGCACCTTGACATGGGAAGCTCACCGTCCTCAAGGGCATAGGCGTAGGCTGATAGGCGCAGGGTGGTGGCGCAGTGCTCGCACTTGAAGCAGCTCCGGTGGAAGAACTTGCCCTCAGCGCTCAGCCGCTCCATCACATAGACCCGCTTCTGGCAGAAATAGCAGGTGTCGCTGCCTCCCAAGTTCTGCGGGAACTCCTTCTTTATGGAGCCCTGGGGGAAGGAGGGATAGGTCAGGGAGATGTCTCCTAGCACTCCCCGGGTGCACGACCCTCACTAAGCGGCTCAGCCTGGGCAATGGAGTCTCGTGACCATGCAGCACTTGGCACTGAGTCTGTTCCTCACTATTTATTAATGATCAAACCAAGTTCTTTCAACAGACTCTGATCTGATGGTGCTCCTGTGGTTCTCCATGGACACAGGCTCCTGAGCCCTAGAGCACTCACTAGGAGATTCTGTGTATACCGTTCACACAACATTCTGAACAACAATTTCAGTCCTGGAAGGTCAGTTACAAAATACAGACACCTCAAAAAAAAAAAAACACACACACACCACATGGCACATAGTGGCTGCGTATGTCACTAGAGCTACTTAGAGCAAAGCAGGCGTGTTCTCCAGAGCCACCTTATCCAGAAAGACAGTGCCTTTAGCGTATCTTACCAGTTCCTTCTTGTCTAGAAGGGTTTTGGGTTGTTCTTTCCTTTGAAGCTGATTGGCTATCTGCTCAGCCAATGAGCTCACTCCGCCCGTGTACATCTTTATATACTTCTATTGGTTGGAGATTGTAAAATGACCAGAAAGAAGGAAAATGAGAAGGAAAAAAATGAATAAATTAAGAAGACAGGGGAAAAAAAAATCTTTGAAAGGTATAAAATGAACACAAGGTGCAGCAACAAACATGCCAACACGGTGCCCAAGAGCAGGGGACAAGGTGTCAGTGTCCACACACTGGCGTCAGCACAGGCGGGGGCAACGGCTGCAGAGAGACAACGAAATTCAAGAAGGAGAACCTGTTCTCTCTCACGTCTCTGGATGAAGTGCAGGGGACAGACAGGCGGGAGGACAGGGTGGATGTGAACAGACAAGAGTGGGAAGGGCCTATGGCCCAGTGGCTCAAATTGCATATGAAGAACTCAAGGGGACACCCCCGCCCCCGGCTCCATAGACAGCGGGCACCAGAGAGCGGGCACACCCCCGGCCTAGGAGAGGGCTTGGGGAGCTACTTCCTCATTTACTGATAGAAAGACAGCAAGGCCGACTCTCTGCCTGGGTAATCTGTGTCCCAAGGGATGACATCTGTCCTCACTGGTAACTGCTGCACTCGGAGGCCCCATGCTGGGCATCAGAGGCCCTGGCTTTACCAGGAAGAACCTTCCTCTGCCCGTTCTCCCATGGAGAGTTCTGTGTTCCCCAGGGCCCTGAGGTCAAAGCTGTCCGGGCCGGCCAGGGCACTGCTGATGCCGCTGTAGGAGTCTGCGGGGCTGCTGTGGAAGCCAGATGTGCTTCCATCCAGGAGGGGTCCTTCATTAAGTTGAAACAAGATGAAAGAGAAATCCAACCACCTCAACCCTTTTTCCAGCAAAGCTGAAGAAGTCACGAGAAAACTATGCATTTCAATGGCAAGCTTTCTTGTGGAAATCCTGCTTTGAGCTCGTCTGCAGGGAAGGAGGCTGAAGCCTCGCCACAGCCCATGTGTGTATGACATTCTCAGCAGCCGTGTGCCCGCGGGTCTGAGGAGCCCTCTCTCTTATTCCGCATCCAGAATGTGCAGGAGGGCTAGGGATGCCAGCAATCCCGGCAAGTAGCTGTATGGGAAGGAACCACCGGCCTGAGTAGTGGCACGTCCCAGGCGGGGCGAGGACACCAGAGGAACGCTCCAGGGAAACGAACCCTGCGTTAACTACGAGCACAGCAGCGGCGCATTGGGCAGTTCCCAAGGTTCAGCTGGAACTGAGGGCTCAATTATGTTTTCAATGTAAAATAAGGAGATTTCCAAAGATTAGTGCCATTTGCTCATTAACTCACAGTTTATACCCACCGGTGGTCGAGAAACCCAACTGGCTCTTAGGCCTAAGCCCTCTTTAGATAGAGACGTGAGGGGAGCGTAAGCCTGGAACAGACAGACACTCAGGTGCAGCCAAGCTGACCCCAGGGGCAGAAAACAGCACACCCCCTGCAGCAGACGAGTGAGTGCACAGACCAGACACCACGTCGAAGGCCGTGACATGGAGCAAGTTCGGGGTCATCCCGGCTCGGCCGGGACCCTGTGCTCCCACCAGAAACCAGCACCCTCAGCAAGTGCAGCCCAGGGCTGCCTGGCACAAAAGCACCTGTCACCTTCAGTTCTCTTTGTTTTTAGCATGAACAGCAGATGGTTTTCCTTTCCCAACTCTCAAGAAACAGCCGCAATGTAGCTATCTCTGGACTGACACTGTGGCCACCACACATGCACTCCATTCTGCACAGTCTGCCAGCCGCTCAAGAACAGGGACAGACAGGACGGGCGGGGGGCCCTGCCACCTGTCTGCAAACCCTGGACGTCTGGGTCAGCTCCATCGCAGGACCCAGCGGAGCTCATTCCTCACATGATTACAGTTCAAGAGGCACCTGGAATACTGGCTAGCCACCACTCCCTTTAGGATTTAACTACACTACAGTTCTTATTTTATAACGCATTAATAGGAAGGCACGTGGAGTTAAAAACGCTTTATCATTAACTGGTATGGTTGGAATATGGCGAATGTGGGCTGACACGGACGGAACTTGCTGCAGTGAAGCAAGCAGCCGCCTGAACTCAGGTGGACGCCTGCCACCCTTACATGCATGACAGACACACACAGCTGGGTCCCTAAGGAGACAGGAAGGACGTTTGTGTGGGAGAAGAGTGGAGGCTGGCGAGGAAGCGGCTTTGCCCCGACGGGGCCGAGCTACCTGTCGGAGGGAGTCGGAGGAGGGAGAAGCAGGGCGGCTGGCGGAGCGGAGGCTTAGGGAAAGCTCCCACTGATCAACAAAAAATCGGCGAGAAGGCTCAGGTTCTGGCTACAAGATGGAGAAAAAAAACCAAAGGAAATGTGAAATTAAAAGTCACACACGGTCCTGAACACAAAGAACTTGGCAGTTTCAGACCCTTTATCTGGATAACAAATGCAGTAAAAAAAACACTCTTAGTTCCAGAAGCAGCAATGGCTCATTCCAGGCGGTGTCCAGCCCACACATCCTGTGCGCCCTGCTGAGCCCCTCATGGCCTGAGCTGGAATCTCTCTTAGGCAGAGGGGATTCCATCAGCTCATCACTCTGCTGGCCTGACGTAGAGAGGACCACAGGGACAGCAGATCTGCAGCGAAGCTCGCTCTTTTTACATAAAAGCCAGGAAAGTGGCTCCTCCTTCTTCTGGTGGGGCTGAGAGAAGCCAAGCTGACCCTGGAGCCAGTCCCCAACCCTTGCAGCCCCCATGCAGCACGTGGAGCTAGTGGGCTCAGCAGCCAGATTCTCTGGGCCCCAGCGAGGAGGGGCTGAGAACTCAGCGGGCGGTAATTGCTTCGTTTCCTGCAGGTTCGGGCTGAGATACCTGCCAGGTGCAGGGAAGAGGCACCCCTCGGCTCTGAGCTCCCCTACTTCAGCTCACACTAACTGCAAAGCTTCAGGTGTGATGGGGTGATGGAGAGTGTCACCAGCCTCTGCTTTAGAGGCTCAGATAGAAAAGACCAAACTCCCTGGACGGTAAAGAAGCAGGCGAACGTACAGCTGGATGGGGGTGGCGGAGGAACAGTCTGGCAGGGACATAAGCAGTGACCCTTGAGAGCATCTGAACGGGAGCCCTGCACTGAGGAACCTGGAAACCAGCCCCGGGATGATGAAAGTCCTGCTGCACCCCGCAGCCCCAAGCTTCTACCTGCTGCTCCTTCCAGTCTCTCCTCTCCTTCAACACTCTTCCCTCCATTCCTGCTGAGGCTCTGCTTCAATCAAAATCATCAGGACCCCCCCCCACCCGGCAAATATGCATTCCCCAAAGCAGAGGGTTTGGCCCTGTTCAGTGAAAAGGCTGAGATTTCTTCTAGAGAGGAAGCAGCCTGGGAAGGACAATGAAAGAGGCTGGGCACACGCAACAGCGAGGCCATGGTGACACGGGTGACGTGGAAAGGCCACGCAGGCCCGCCTGAGGGACCTGCTTCCCGTTGCCCTGGTGGCAGTACCGAGACACGGGGCTACTGCTACTTCCCTGATGGGCCCGGGGGAGCCGGGCCTACTGCTCAGTCATGAGCACACTTCTCAGACAGCAAAGGCAGAGAGAAGCCAAAAAAAAAAAAAAGAGAAGGCCCACATGAACAGGGAGAGCTGATTCTCGCTCTGGCTGCAGACTGGCATCCACTCAGGGATCAATTAAAGGGTAACAACAACCAAGAACGTTCCATAACGTCAGTAGGCTTTTACATGGGCATCTCTGCTACTCAGATTATTTGACAGCCAAGTGTGACTGGCCGTCTGTCCCTCAGTTTCTCAGACAGAGGATCGACAGCTCCCCATCACAGACTCCGTCGTCACCTTCCTTCCCTGCCCTGTCCTCTTCATCCTTGAAAACTCCCCATGCTGGTAAGAGCTCTGGCTTCCTCGGGATTTCTACCTCAAGATCCCAGACTCGCGGAAGAGCAAAAAAGTTCCTCCTGCTTCTGGATCCTGACTTTCCCCTGGAGTCAAAGGCACGTATTTACGGGTGGGAAAGGGGGCGGAGGGCAGGAGGAAGAGGCCTTTCATAGGAGCACACGTCTCAGGGTTCTTTTCTGGAGTGGATGGATGCTCTCCAGGAATGCTATTCCCATGGATCATCACTGCTAGCAAAGAGTTCTGGCTCTTGGCTGGGTGACCAGAGTGTGCAAAAAGCAAGGGACAGGGGCCACACCCGCCTCCCCCCTGCCCCCCGCCCTAGCGTGCCGCGTCTGTGTGGCTGCCAGCGTCCCATGCCACGGGCATGCTTTTACCCTCTCGTGCTGGGGGCTCTGCTTGCCGCGGCTGTCGGCATCAAGATCCCCGTGTGTCTGTTGGCAACAAAGCAGAAACTTAAGCTCCATCCAAACTCTCTATCTGGACCTACTGAGTGACAGTGCGACAGAGTCAGAGTTCATTTCAACACACATCCTGCGGCCTGCTGCCCCCAGCAACCACAACCCCATCCACATCAAAGCCCCATCACCCAAGGACAACTCCCAGCACAG